AATCATATCTTTAAGAATATTTAATGACAAAGGAAAATGCTCAAAATAAAATATGTAGTTTAAAAAAGTAGTAAACAAAATTGCATAGGGATTAAATTACAGGTTATTTTATAATCTATATTGTTTTTTAAACCAGAAAAGTGTAAGTTTTTGTTGGTTTGTTTTGTTATGTAGACAGGTTCTGGTAATGACGAGGATGGATGTCTTTTGCCTGCTTTTCAGATTTATGGCAAATCTTCATAAAGCCAACTATTTGTTTGTGTTTGTAAGTCTGTTTATACCAGAGCATTTTTATATGCAGGCTAAGCCATTCTAAATCTTGCTGGATAGAAAATTATATTTCAATGGAAGTTTGAAAATAAACTTTTTTCTATCTCCTACACAAATAATAAATAATTCTTAAAAACATACTATTTAAAACTTATCTATTTCAAAATGCCTAATAAGTTTTTTATACCATACCTGTGATGGGCTTCATTATTTCTTTTTAGACAGATACGAAACTTGGGGAAAAAGAGCATGGATTGAATTATTCTCTGGCTAGTGGGCAGGAAATAACTTGCTTAAAAGTCTAATTTTGTATAGATTGTATTATTTTGGAATCAAAGCTATTATAGAAACTTAGGGATCAAAATTATAAATGTACAATAAAATATAAATAAATATTTGAAATGTTAATAAACCATTAGAAATTGGAGCCTTTAAAATAAAGGATCTCCTAAGTATAAAAATTTTTCATAAGTGGGTGGGGCAGTTGGTAGAGCTGTGACTTGCTACCAAGATTCTAATTTTTGACTTAATTCTTCATTATTCTTTGCAATATTTCCTTGAACTTCTCTATTCTTTTATTGGTTTGCCTTTCTCCAGAAATGCATTAGAGTGTTTATTTTTTCCCGACACACTTATAGAATTATTGCTTCTCTTACTTTCATTTCTTTCTTTCCTCTTTTTTACTTTGCCTTAATAAATCACAAATGAAACAGAATTGTTTTACAATGAAGCACCAGTTTTACTGAAAGGGCTGAAATATAGTGAGTTGAAATATTAACCAGATCCCCACAAGAATTTCTTTATTTACAAGAGTTTGTTTAAATTTTGAGTTCTCAAGTAAAACTTTTTTAAAAACCTCCTTCTCCAGTCACAACTACCAGAAGCAATCTATAGCTGTACCAATATGTACTGAGTGATATTGGTTGGAAGAGAAACAATTTCTAAAAAAAAAAGTTTTCTTTCCTGTCACTGATACCCATACTTTAAAAAAGAAACTGGCATAATAAAATAGGATTAAAAATGTCTGTCTCTCAGGGTAGTTCTGAATGTTTTAAGTTAGATAATTCTAAAAATAAAACAATTCAATCCCTAGGACAAACAAACAGAATTTTTTTTTAATCTGTACAATCTTAATCTAAATCAATACAAAATATATCAGGGGAGAAAAGGGGGAAATCTACATTAGTCATTCTATAATGAGAGCCCAAATTTAATGAAGAGACCTGAGAGCCAGAGAATCTAATATAAGCTATGCTTTTTTTATTGATATGTCTCCAAAAAGCTAATGGACCTCTCTAAGACCTGCATTCTCTCATCAATAAAACAAACACACAAAATATATAAACTTTTCTCACAGTTCTTCACCAAACGTCTTGCAGCTAAAGAGATGTGTTAATGCATACATCCAGCGATATGGGTGCCTACCTTAAGTGGCTTCTACAACCCCAAAATTCCTTAAAGTTTCATATTTTATTTCAAAAATCAATACAAAGTTGGATTTCTACTCCAAAATCTTGTTTTTGCCTTTAAAAAATATTACACTTACAACTACTTATTATTGGCAAGAGAGATGAGGGTGAGATGGGGTAATTTTCTACTTTGTTAATAATGGAAATAATTTTACAGTGAGCTCAGTTTTGGAGAACTGAGCTAAATCAAAGGGAATCAACAGTCCGTATTGTGTTAGCACCCAGGCCATTTCTTTTGTTGCATGATATATCTAAAATTCAAGCTCTTATTTAAAAAAGTGAATACAAATAACAGTCATTTCACTACTTTAGTAACCACATCCTGGTAATTAATTCCTGAGGATAGATTACCCAGTAATTAATTCCTGAAGAAATATTCCCAGAATGTTGCAAAACAGGTGATATAGTGCAATCTTTTCAGACAATTTTTAATGGATATCTTGTTAAATATATTTAGGCTGAGAGGCTGAATAGAAGATTGAAATGATTTTGATCCTCCGATTTATGTCTTAACAATCTCAGTAAAAATATTTATAAAAGGATTTCTTCAGGGTACAAAAATCATTAGTGATAATATTTTTTGTTTTGCAGGTAACATTTTAGTTTTCATATATCATTATTATAAACTAATAATCTCAACCAACCTGTAATCCCTACAGTTCTTTACATCCAATTCTCAAACTTCATTTATATTGCAGTGATCTTATATGTAGTATAAACATTTGCAGTTTAGCCTCTCTTAGTTATTGATACAGAATGTTTATAGCCTCATAGAAAAATATGTATAAAATTAGCTAACAATGTGAGGCTTTTATAATTATCATGAAGAGTAAAGTTCATTTTATTCAAATGCTAATCTTTTGTGATTTCTTTTAAATTCTAATCAAAGAAAAATAGTAATCAGGTATCTGGATTAGCTGTGAATTTCTTTTATTTATACTACTCCATAATTGATGATTAAGGGTTGACTAGCATAAATGAGAGCATTATGTCTTAAAATCTATCGATTTGACTTTTCTCTACAACTCAAATTTTAGTATATGTGACAAATCTTTTTCATATTCTTTCTGAAGTTTTTCAATATTAGGGATAATTTCTCATTAATTAGGGATAACAGTCTTCCTGTTATGATAATTTCTCATTAATTAGGGATAACAGTCTTCCTGTTACGATAGTTAAGGATTCACAAACTCAGATTTAAATACAGAAAATTGGTGTCAAGCATTGACAGATGAACTGTCTGCTCCTAAAAGTCTTTGTGTAAATTGGTATATAGTCTGTTTTTCATGTTCAGAGTTCAATGGTGATTGTCTTTTCTCTTCTTATATTTCATCCTTTAAGCTTCTGTACTTGCACTTGCATTTGGAATTGAAATGATTTAGGAAAACTTTCATTCATACATTAATGTGGTAACATAAAATTTCTTCCATAAATGAGATAGATAGACAAACAGACACACAGGGACATGTATACATATACATCCTATTATAAGCATCAGGTTTTTTCCAACCCATTTATTTCCAGGCCTATTAAGGGAATACAGCTTTAAAGTAGAAACCAGGAATGGTGGTGGTCTTAGATCTGTCATTAATGTCCTGTGTAACCTTGAAGAAACTACCTCATGTTGCTGGACTTGATGTAATTTTAAGCTTTCCAGAAATAAAAGATAATGTAGAAAATGGTGTTCACTTGTTACTATATAACAATGCAGTTTCTAAAAGTTTTCAGAAAGCAGCATGAAACATTAGACTTTATATTTTTTTATAGAAAACTACGTTGTTTATAATCAACATATTGTGTCAATTTAAAATGGAAAATAGCTTTTGATATAAAGATGTTCTCTGAAATCAAAGAAAATAGCATAAGAAAATGACAAAATAATATGAACTCACTGTCCATCCAGAGGCCCTTTCTTATAGACTGTTTCCATTCTAATTAGTATCCACTGTTTCTAAATTTAAGAACTCTGTTCAACCAAGAAGGGTAAGAATCAGTGATTATCTTTAGGGTACGAAATTTAATTAATGTTGAAGGATTAGTAAAAACTATTTATATCAAATAAAACCGAAAGTTGACAGAATTCTTATGGATCAAGATGCTTTTTTTCAAAGTGAAAATCCAATTTTCTCAGTATTATTCCTAAGCAATCTACTTATGCTATCAGAGATGTCCTAAAAGGGATAAGACAATCTATAGCCTGTCTCCAGAAACTATAATTTTGTAGCACGGTCAGATTTCTTATTTTTCCTGAGGACTTTAACACTGGGAATTTGGCATCACAATGATACTTCATCAGTTGTCTCCTAATACAAGCAAGAGAATCACAACTAACTTGAGCTATGCTGCTCTGAATGGAGACTGTTATTCTGCACATGTAGGAATCCATTAATGTAAAAGCACTTGGTCTGACGCTTCCTTCCAATCTCCCCCCTACTCTTTTTTAGTTTGACTTCCTCTTTAACCAAAATATTATTGTTACAGCTCTATTAAAAAGCAAAGGGATTTCTAATTTATACCTAATCTAATAGGTATATTAGATTGGGTTTAGAATCTTCCTTTTCTCATTTACACAGTGAGGTGAAACAAATTTTTAAAATAGCAGCTTTACTTTTCTTTTTTTCCTATCTTACCTAAAAGGAAAAAATAACTGAAAACTTTGAGGGAGTAAATGTATCTAACTTTGGTCTGGCATTAAAATTTTCTGGTTGGGCAGCACAATTGTTTAATTGGAATCTCAGTGACAGCTGAACAACCTCAATGCTTGGGTTAACAAGCAGAGGAGCTTCATTCTGTCACCTGTCAAGAATGATGCTTGTCAGGACTGATCTTTCCACTTAAGGAACACTCGTGTTTCTAGTCATAGCACTGATGTTTTCTGATATTACAATGGAATAGACACTAAAGGAGACAACGTTTTCTGCATAGGTATATTTGTAATTCTTTGTTTTTCATAAGCCAAATGCAAATGTAACACTACTCCAGATACTGCTTCATGAGAAGTCCCCAAGATAACCAAAAGTAAGTGCCCATTTCCTCATCTTAGGAATAGTGTCATAACAAAGACTGAATTCTAGTGACCAACCTATCTGCAGAGCATGTCATATAGCCTCTGGGTTAGTTAACTCCTTGGCTTGGCCTCTTAAGATGTATCTCAAAGAGTCAATTGATGTTTTTGCATGTATTATTTAGTAATGTTTAGAAAAATTTTTAAGTTCACTTTTTCTTTATTCTGTCTTTTTTACCCATCTTCCCTCATTGTAGCAAATTAGACGGCCGGATGAAAGCAAAGGAGTTGCTAGTAGAGTTGGATCCCTCAAAGTAAATATGTTTCTAACATTTTTTGGCAAGATTTCGTCTATAGCCTACACTTCTTCCTTTTTGGAGGGTGGTGGGAGGAAGGGGGCTTTTTCCATTTTTCACCATCCCATTTTGTTTTATTTTAATATTTTTATTGGCTGTTGGGTCATATTTTTTTTGTTTGTTTCAGCTACACATAGAGCAACCAGCTGAAGGCAAGCTGCCAAATAACTAGCTTTGAGTGGCACCACAAACAATAAAAAGGGCACTGCCTCATTACGGGTGCCTGTAATTTGGGGTTCTAGAGTAAACCGTTCCTCTGATTGATGTCACTGACTATGTGTTAAGTTCCTGTTACACAGAGAACTAATATTTATTTTCAGAATGTTATATGCCCTTTTTACTTTTTTTTGTTAAATGTTATTTTAGTGTCATTACCATTTGTAGTTCATTCCAGAAAATAATTATTATGAGTTAATAACATGTATATTTTATATATATATATGTGTATATATATATATAATCTTAATTAGAAAAGGAATTTCATATGATGCTAGCTAGTATAGGGGCTCACATATAGCTAATAGTAAGCACTCTTAATCCCCTTTGTTTTATTTGTTAAAAGTTAAAAAATTTATATAACAATCAACAGAAACTGATATATATATATATATATATATATATAAATGTTTGCCCATTTGTTTATGTGACCTACAAATACACCACCTAAAGATTTCTGATCTAATGGTCCCATTTGGTAGTCGTTAAATATCCATTTGGTCAATTTATCTTGGGCATTCGATACTCTAACATTTAATCACAATGAAAGGTAAATAAATTATCACCCTTAAGAGATATAGACATAGCCAATTAATCACTTTTAATGCTGCCACTATAAATGCAAGTTAGAAAATTTGCTGAATTTTAAAAATATGCAGAGAAATCTCCCTCAATATTAACCATTTCTTCTATCTCAGTCCCACTTGTCCTTACAGCAATAGTAACTGCTAAATTAATCAAAATGACATAATTCACTGTACTGGGATGTCCCAAAATTCAATAACTACTTTGAGGCTAATATTAAGTCATTTTAAAATTTTACACACCTCCAATTTATTTCCATTTAACAATTTATGAAGCACTGATTTCTGCACTCCTTCCTCTCCTTGCCTCTTCTGCCTTCTTAATTTTACTTTTTTGTTGTTGTTTATTTATCTGTGTGTGCACACACATGAGTGCACATGGATGAGGGTGTGTCTGTATGTTTGTGTCCTTTATTCCAGACAAGCCATCTTCTCTGTTCTCTAACACTGCTATATACTGGGTAGCATTTTTGTTGTTGTTGTTACTTCACTAAGAATAATCAGAGGGGATGGGAAGTGTCTATTATATACCTATTTCAGAAGCGAGGCAAGCTAAAATTATTTAGTCAGAAAAATATGACTTTATGTATCTTGATGATATATCAGTAGCATTCCTCACTGTCTACCTGTGAGGTATCATATTTTAATTTTTTAAGGGAAGATAAATCCATTATTGTTGAGACTATGGATTATGACTCAGATTCAAGTGAAAAGGTGCAGATGGACATAACTTTTTGGAAATGACTGATAGTGAAATAGAGATAAAATGGCATCCATACTGCAGCACCATCTGTTATAAACTGGATTGTGTGTGCGAGTACACGTGTGTTTATCTCGAAGTTCAGCTTTTGGATGTGTAGAACTTCAAGTTGTGATTGTATGTTTATTGTTTTTAAGTGTATATACAATATGATTATGTGTATACACATAAATATGTATAAGAACAAAATATACATTTTAGGGTTCAATCAGTTTATTTGAATATGGATGCAGACTTAAATCAAAAAGTGTGTTTGGGAAAGGCAAATTTCATAATTTTTAAATGTCTTTATTCCATATTTCTACAAAATAGAAAATTGTAAAGTGAATCTCTAGGGGTTTATAAGGATAGTTAAGGTATTTATTTTCTCTAACACTTTGGGGAGAAAAGAGGCTTTAATTAAAATAAAATATTCTCTTCCTAGTCACAGTTTATTGAGCATGTATTCTTGCGCTATACAAAGATCTTTGATGTTTTGAAATGTTTGCCAAAGGCAGTGAGAAATGTATAATGCTATGATCTTATTTTTAAAAGGAAAAAGGAAAACTGAAAAGAGACCAAGTTGCTTTTTCAATTCATTTTCTGATGTTTACATGTAGCTCCATCGAAAGCTGGAGGAGCTCAGAGATCACCTAGAAGGCAATGTGAAAGGATACTCTCTCAGAGTAAATGTACGATTTCACCTGGTGATTTTTTTTTTTTTTTACCTAAACTTCTGCTGACTGGTAATTCCAAATCTGATTGGTTTGTCCTCTCATCTCCATCTTTTTTACTTTCTGTCTCTTTTCTCCCTATCTCTTTCTTTCTTTTCTAACTGCAGCTTCATGCTCACATTTATGAAAGAAAGATTAAATCGGCATAGAAGACCTTTAAGCCACACTAACATTGCATTTGATTTAATAGCATTCTGACTCCAGTGCAAATTAAAACCTTTTTTTTTTTTTTTCAAAATCTGTGTTTCTTATACAATTGTATAATTTTCTGACGATCGTTTTATGAGACTTCATTTGGAGCTTTTCCATTTACTGTGTCTTCTGTCCCTTGTTGGATGTGTCAGCAGGATTATAAATTATGGGCTGGATCCAAGTGATAGAGCCTTGATGTTTCAGTTTCAGTTGTCAAGGAAGGTATTCAGTGTTAGAGTCTCAGTATAGTTAATCTGGCAAGTAGATACATCTATTCTGAGTTAATAGACGTCTCTTAACTCAGACTCTTTGGGAATAACTATAAGATATCATTTTTTGTCTAAAAATAAGAAAATTAGGCAGTAAGAATCTTCACTATGAACACTATTATGTAACATCTTACAAATACTTGAGATAATGGCTAATATACCCAGGACAACACTGAAGGAGAACAATACCTTATAGCCACTCAATACTGTACATACGTCATATAGGCATACTAACAATAGTATTTTTTGTGACTGATAGTTCAGACTCAGAATGCTTGGTCCTTCTCCTGAATATATCTTTTCAAGATAAATGGAATTAAAATCTCTAAAATGGTACATGGTATAAATATGGTAGAAGAAAAGCTAAAATATTACAGTAAATAATTGCTGGCTCTATTTAACCTTGACCCCTATTTCTGACGCTTTAAAAAGAAGTTCCTATGAAACCTAGCCCTGGTTTACTTCTCCCGAGATTATTGTCATACATTTAATTCATATTGCTATAATAATTTTGTTATGAAGGATAGAATAAAAAATAATAGTGTTATGATAATTCTCTGGTTTCTTAGCTTTGTTTTTAATTATATACTATGTGTATTTTGTATATCTCGTCATTAAATTTCTGTTGACTAAAGTTCAAAGTTTTTTAATAATATCAGTCTTTAAATTCTGATAGCTAAACAGAAAAGGAAATTAATACACGTCTCATTTTTCTGCTTCTTTCTTTTGAGCCAGTCCTTCTTTTCAGTCATATTCTTAGAGAATTTGAAAAATTACCCACAATCATCCCCAGAATCTATCCCACTGTTTTAAAAAAAATAAAAAAGATTAGTATGAATTTTATGATTAAATCAGTCTAGATATATCTGGATATCATTCTAGAAACTCCTAAAAAGATTCTGATAATGTGTGTTTTAGTGCCACACTCTTCCCTAACCAGTCATAAAAAATGATATTATTTTTCTTTCAGTGAAACCAAGACCAGAAAGTTGAAACTTGCTAAGATCTATATGATAGGGAGTTTGTGTTAGATTAGGGTTAAATTGAAATCTCTGTGCTTTGGAAATTGGTTTTCTCATGCCACTCTTCAATTTCTTTTTTTCAATACCTGTACTGCGTGGTGGAGTACATAATAACTAGTCTCAGTGTCTTCATCTTTTGTTTCATTTCACTGGGTCACACTTTGTTCTGATTACCTTTCTTCTAAAAAGATTGAATATAAGGTGTATCCTTCTAAGATTCCTGTTAACTAGAAAAGTACAGAAGAACAAAAAATATATTGTCAAAAGACAAATAATAGTATTTTCTCTACAGAGTTCAGCTAGGAAAAGACACAAATCAAAATCTTAGCTGAGGGCTTCCCTGGTGGCGCAGTGGTTGAGAGTCCGCCTGCCGATGCAGGGGACACGGGTTCGTGCCCTGGTCCGGGAAGATCCCACATGCCGCGGAGCGGCTAGGCCCGTGAGCCATGGCCACTGGGCCTGCGCTTCCGGAGCCTGTGCTCCGCAACGGGAGAGGCCACAGCAGTGAGAGGCCCGCGTACCGCAAAAAAAAAAAAAAAAAAAAAAATCTTAACTGAATGTTCAGTGTCTCTCCTTCCCTTTAATTCGTATTGCCCCAGAATGCCTTAAAATATGCCTTGTATATTAAAAATTGTTGCTTAGAAGCAGAATTAAGTACCCCATATGCTATATAAATAAATTTCGTTTCTAAAATGAGATAAATTGGCATATAGTGACCATTCCATTTTGTGAAAATTTATTGTAGGTGTCCACACAGAAGAGCAAGTATATGAATGCCTTTTATAAAATTCATTGAACATCGCTAAATATTTCAATAAGATGACAGGTTCAGAACCATGTTGCCGCTTAAATATCTTATAGTTGAAGAAGGTGAGACATCATTCAGAAGTTTGGGATAAGAATTTAATTAAATTATTCATGTTTCAATTGGTATCATCTATATGATGTATTATTTTTTAGAGGACCTGCATTTTTATTTATTACTTATAATCAATGATATAAAGTAGACTTTTATTAAGAGGTAATTTTTAGAACAGTATTAAATTTTATTTATTTCTCATATGAAAACATACTTTTTAATTTTACATGGACTCTTCTATAGCAAAAAGTAGGATGCATTCGATTCTTGAATTCTAAGTTAAGAATGTATCATCTTTTTCTGTACTTTATACAAAACTGAAGTATTCTGAACCCTAAATGAG